AGGCACACCCTGCGCCCGGGCTAACAACCTGAGGCTTGAGATTGGCATTTGAAGTGGATACGTAGCGGGGCCACGTGCTTGCTGGGACTGAGCCCTCGGCCTGTGGGATCTGATGCCATCTCTAAGCAGACAGTGTCAGAATTGAGTTATTTAAGAAGCCAGTTGGTGTCCACCTGAGGACTTGCTGGTGTGTGGAAACCTCACCTCCTGTGTCACGAAATTGGTGTTGGTGCTGTGTGATGGTAGAAGCGAAAAATAGTGTTTCCTACTCATATACTTTTGTTTACATCTTGTTTTTTTCCCATCTCAGCATCTCACATCTGTTAGGATGGCTATTAACAGAAAGACAAAAGAAAACAGTGTTGGTAAAGCTGTGGAGAAAAGGGGCCCTTGTACACTATTGGCAGGAATGTAAACTAGCACAGCCATTATGGAAAACAGTGTGGAGGTTCCTCAAAATACTAAAGATATAACTACTATATGATCCTCAAAACAGGGGCAGGCACAATGGCTCATTCCTGTAATCCCAGCACTTTGGGAGGCCAAGGCAGGAGGATCTGTTCAGGCAAGGAGTTTCAAAGACCAGCCTGGTCAATAGAAAAGACCCCATTATGGCCGGGCTTGGTGGCTCATGCCTGTAATCCTAACACCCCTGGGACAGCCAAGCGTGGGGCCCAGATCATTGAGCTTGGGAGGTTTCGAGACCCAGCTGAGCCAAGAGCAAGACCTCCGTCCTCTTACCAAAAACTAGAAAAATACACGGCATTGTGTCACATGCTGGTAGTCCCAGCATCACGGGAGGCTAAGGCAGGAGGATTGCTTGAGCCCAGGGAAGTGAGGTTGCTGTGAGGCTAGGCTGATGCCACAGCACTCTAGCCCAGGAACAGGATGTGAGACCTCTGTTCTCAAAAAAAAAGCAGAAAGAAACGAAAAGAAAAGACCCTATTTCTACACACACACAAAAAAATTAGCTGGATGTGGTGGCACACGCCTATAGCTACTTGGGAGGCTCAGCCAGGGAGGATTGCTGGAGCCCAGGAGTTGAAGGCTGCAGTGAGCTAAGATCACAGCGCTGCACCCTGCCTAGGCAACAAAGTGAGAACCCATCTGAAAAAAAAACCTAAAAATAGAACTACCATATGATCCAGCAATCCTACTTTTGGAAACCCAAAAGAAACAAGCAGGACAGTGGCTATGGAAATCAGAATCCGCTAAGGATTGTGTAACAACTCACCTGCCGAATCAACTAGCCCCAAAATAAAACATTTATTAAAACAAACAAACAAACAAAAGAAATGAAATTAGTACCTTGAAGAGATATCTGCACTCCCACGTTCACTGCAACATTTTTCACAATAGCCAAGATATGGAAGTAACCTAAGTGTCCACTGATGGATGAATGGATAAAGGAAATGTATATATACACACATATGTATG